AAACAACCCCTCCTTATCCCAAAAGCCTCTACCCTCCAGCATATTTTACTTCTGATTTATTATCTGCTTTATCTGTCTGTACTATCTAGACCTGCATGAAACTTCTTGCTGCATCATAAAATTACTACAAGGATGGACAGAAAATTCTCTCTGCTAGTATTCCCAAAGATTATGAGAATGAAAACCTGAGATTTATTTTTTCCTAGCAGTGTCTACTCTGAAATGCTGTAGTTCTGAGCCTGAAAGACTGCTTTACTCTAATTAATTTCTGTGTTTCCCAGGCACTGTTATTTTTACCACATCATAGTTGTGCTTGCTAACAGCCATGAAGTACTTCCAGTGAATCATCATACTCTCCACCACTGGAGGACAATTTGTATAATGATGCGGTTGTCTTTTCTAAATATTCACCTAAACTTTGGTTATCCAACGAAACTGTAAGAGAAAGCCTTCTTAAGATCAGTCTCAGAAGGTGAACTGTTTTGAGCCAGTAATGGGGACAATATACATTCAAAGTCTCATCTTTCTCTTACATGAGATCATTAATATTTCTCAAGCAACATCAATCGAAAATTAGTAAGAATACTGACATTAATGGTGTTGAGCATCTTGGAAAACAGAAGTAGTCTCAAAGAACTAAGATTTGTAAAAAAATATAGAGCCCATGTCTCAAAAGGCTCACCAGTCGCATCTCTGGTAGTTTTGTTCATATTTATCTCAAAGCTGTTATTTTCAGTCTTTCTACCTGTACTGTTTAGTATGTTTCGGATCTTAAGTAAGTATTCCCAAACTATGTTGCAATTCCTTTGAAATGCTTAGTCAATGCTTTTGACAGGAAAGTCATCAGAAGCGGAGTGGATAAAGAATGAAATTCCTTTAAGTCTTTCTTTTAAAACAAACAAAACCACAGCCAGCCATCCTTCCATTTGCCTTAAAGAGAAAAATCCATCTTGCTGACTCAGCAGACAACTGTATCAGGCTGAATATGGCATAGAGATGTGGCACTACCAAATCTCTGATAGAAAGATGGTGAGGATATTGTGTCAGAATGGTTGCTAAGCACTGTTAGCACTTAAAAAGAACAAGAGAAGCATGCTCCTACTAGCAGATGATCTTTCTAAACCTCCAGCTGCTGACCAGGGGTTAGAAAGTAAAAGGATGGAAGCCTTTCACCTTCCTAAGTCATACCTCTGCATGCACCAGGAGACCTGAGAGGGATCTAGGAATAGGAATACTTCTGTTTATTTGAGATTGAGCTTTTCGGTTCTCCAGAACTGATCTCACTGGTGACCATTACCTATATCCACTTTGAAATGCATTATTATGTCTCTATTTATGGTACAAATTCTGTAACAAAATTCTTTCCTCCTATGCCAGCAGTTTTTATCTCTTTTAAAAACAAACCCAGGACCCCAGATCAAAATGCAGGGATCAATACTGCCCTCAGTCACTTAGTGGTTGGGAACTAATATAAGAATATCTTTAGGGCAATAAAGTGCTGTATCACAAAATCAGAACAATAGATGATGCTTTCCTATCATAATCTGTTTTCCTGTAATTCTATGATTTAAAGTTTAGATGCTGTAATTATTTAGAAAATCTGCAGTTATATATTTAATTTTTATATATGTATATATCTATATACAAAAATATAGGCTTGCAAAGAAAGCTAGAGAAGTTGGATTATAAGTGAAATTTTACTGAATATGCCTGGAGCTATTTTCATTTTTCTGTGGTCTTTCTAAGGGCTTTGCTTCTCTCTTCTTTTTTTTTTCTTTCTTTTCCTTTTTCTTTTCTTCTTTTCAACTGTGATTGCAGAGCTGGATTTCCATTAGGAATACTGCCAGAAGATTACAAGCTGTTTTTGATGAACTATAAAATCTATTGAATTTGTGGACACAATGAACAAAGTGCAGTAAGTAAGGATTTCATTATTTCAATGAACACTTATTAAAAGTATGATGAAATCTTGAACACAATCAAAAAGAAGGTGCAGCAGAAAAATATACTTTTCCTTGCAGATTTACACAAAAACAAAGCCCAATTCTTTCACTAACAATCTTATAAGGCACATATTCAGCATAAATATTTTCCAACAGCATTGAAAAAGGTTACACAAAATAATGTGATTACTGGTCCTTTCTAAATCTAAGATGCAAGTGGATCTGCCCCATGTATGCAAAGTGGTCCACATGTGTATATATAGACATATGCACATGCACAGGCTCACACACACACCCCTTCCTTTTTTCAATTGAAAAGACAATAAAATCTTAGAAATAATAGCTACCTAGTACCAGTTTCATACACATCACTTCTATTTTTATATAAGATTAAACTTGTACAGTATGCTAAAAGCAGGAATTGCTTACAGAAAGTAAAATTCAGCCCTTATTGACAATTTCTTCAAATGAAAACAAGCAAGATGGAAATTAATTTTACTAGTTTTGAAGACAGTAGTAAACCAGAATTTCAGGTCTACATGTTCCACAAAAACATGGAAGCTCCAATTTTCAAGAAATACCTGACCTTTCCTTCTATTTCTTCTTTTCTGAGTTTTCAGAAACAAAGGACTGTATTATGTCACGCAGACCTGACTTCCAGTCACGCAAATCATAGGAAAAAAAAATTAAACTGACAAAGATAGGAAAAACTAAGGAGGCTGCACATACATTTCTGTATTTTTTATACTTCCTTTAAAATACCTGCTCTGTGTCAACAGCATACCTTCAGTTGCTGAAGATCTATAACAAAAGTTCATACCTGACACCATTTTTTGGAGGCCCGTACACCTCCACACCAGTTTTAAAACTCAGAATTTGGCTATTAGAACTGATTTTCACAACATCAATTTTAAGGACCTTGTTTATATTATACTCTCAAAACAGACTTTTGTTTTAAATCTCAGTAGTGGAGACATTACTAAGATACTTAGGCATAACACATTAAAATGAATTAGACCGTTTCAGATTTCTCCTTCTCTCTTGTACACTACAGGAAGGAAGGAAAGTGGGTGCCTGATTTAGAGCATGAGTATCTACTCTCCAGCAAAAAACCTATCAAGTGTCATGTGCATATTGCTCTAAAAAATGTATTAATTCAACTCACTGATCTGTGACATAATTTAATTAACAAAATTGTGAGTGATAAAATAAAATGTGCCACATTTTATTTGCTCTGCTTATACCACAGATAGTACTGTTTGCCTGAGCCATGGAAAGGCAAAGTAAATATCACTCTCAACTCTGTTTTACAATCATAAATAATACATAATCATACTTTTCATATTTGATTTGCTGTTTGAGTTTCATTATAACTTTAGGTGCGCCATTCCTTGCAAAATTCCCAGCGCTTTGAAATTTACACCAAGCAAAATTTGGAGAGCTAGAGTATCTTTCCATGATGAATAGGAACATCTGAGCTTTAAACAGATAATGCTGAAAAGTGTTTCAAAGTCACAGGTTAGATTTTAAGTTATTTACTAACTTCAGTGAGGGGGAAGATCCCACATGCAAGGGAAATGTTTAGTAGCCCCCTGTGCCTTCCTTTTAGGCATACAGCCCTGGTTCCTGGTTAGACCTGCACTACTGAGTAAGATGAAACAAAGATTTGCTCTGTCATGGCAATTCCTATTTCAGTGACATTTAGGAGTTAAAAGGAAACCTAGATCAAAACATGAAAACATTCTGGAAAATACTTAAAATATTTTCTTTATAGTAAGTGGAGTAAAACACCAACCTAAAATCCTTTCTGTAGTACACTAACACTTTTGATTACTTTAAGAGCATGTCATTGATTCTGATGCATCTAAATTACCATCTTCCTGCATGGTGAATTTTTGAGCAACACAGTTATCAGTTATAGTTCTGGCCTTCAAAGACACCTACTACATCTATCATTTAGTCCAGCTACATGAAAACATTCTTTCTGGCTCAAAATTCATAAATGACCTGTGTAGAAAAGTTATTTACAATCTTTTTTTGTTAACGCTGACCAAACTTCACATTTGAAAGAATCGCTTCTACTGATCATCTGGCAACAAAAGAAACACAAGGTAAAAGGGTAAGATAGTTGATGACATAAATAAACAATATTGTTACTTACCTTAGTTTCGATTGCCCTGACTATGTGAGAGGGTTGCTGCAATATGTGTGCATATGCGTTCTATGATAGGCTGAAGCTTTTCCTCTTTCTTTTCCTTCTTTTAGTAAGAAAAGCCCCCTAGGCCAGATCCTGCTCCCACTGAAGACAAGAGCAAAAATCTTCACAGGGTTTCAATAGGAGCAGAATGGGGATTTTAAAACAGGTTTTTTCCCCTTTTGTATCTTTCAGCATGAGCTTTTGTTCCTTCAGGCTATGCAGATATGAAGTTTTTAAGATTTCTGAAGACGCAAAAAAGAATTGGAAGTCTTATGTTCCTAATGAAGCATCATGCTGTCATCTAATTTATCTGAAATCACTGACCCCAAATTGCCCCTGTTGTTTTTAAGAAAAAATATTGGATTTAATCTTAACTAAGAAATCAGAGGAAGCTTCTGACAACATTTGTTGCCACGACAGGTACAACCTATTATCCAAGTTATATAACTGCCACTCATTTGTTCAGATTTCAATTCCACTGTTTGTACTCAACTCTTGTGCTAGAAGAAATTCCATATACATAAAAATCTGCTCTTAGTTGAACCATTATCTACTGTTCATACCCACGTGCTTCTTTTTGCATTTCCTTGCCTACCTTCAAAGCCTAACAAGGCTTTGAAGTGATACAAAGATTTTTCATTGATCAGGACAGAAAGTTTGTATGGTACATATTCTAAAAAGCATTAGTATACTGTTTCTTGCAGACGTCTAAGAAAAGTAATATCTTAGAAATTTATTGACAGCTGGAAAATCCTATCTCCTGAGTGATCTATATCCTTATTCATGTAACACAGTTGCCACGGATGAAATAACCACTTTTGGTGAAGGTCCTATTTCCAAAGAGCATGTGTCTCACTCACCTGTTTGGCTAAGTTGAGATGTACTTCTGCTCCTTCGAGACACTATGGCAACCACTTTGGCACTAAGGCTGGAACGCCTTTTCTTCCCACCTGTTCCAACCATGCCGACAGCCGTGTCTGACTGACTCCCGTCATTGTGCTCCAGCTTATACATCTCTCCACTCACACTTGTGCTCTTAGTGATTCTCCCTGAAGTCCCCATCCGTCTGCCTTGCATTTTAGAAGTAAATGTACTACAGTTACAAAGTAAAAACAAACATGTTAATTTGTGTGTGCAATACCATTTCCAAAAGCATTTTTTTTAAATCAGTAAATTAAAGTCCTGATACATTTTCATTTATTTGATTCACAAATAAAAGGTTAATTTGGTGCTCCTCAGAGTATATATTTCCAGTATTATAATTTGTTCTTCACTTCTTTTAGGGAAATAAATAAAATGAACACTTTCCCATGTTTGTCAAAGTGACAGAAAGACACACAACATTTAAAAGTCATGTGGAGCCTTACTGTCTATATTCCCAGAACACAGAAAGCAATAAACCAACAATTTCAGGACAAAAAAGATGAATATGGACTAAGATAATATATGTAGGTATCCTATTGGCACAGCTCACTAAAGCCTTAAAACCTAATAGATATGAAGATATCATCTTCTATATTTTCATACTTCACAGAAAGAGATAATATGTAGTGTTTTTTACATCTTCACTCTCTCACTTCTTTAAATGTAAATGCAATAATCACAGTATGAAGGGCAAAATAATTTTGAGACAAAGCCCCTAATAATCCCCTAGAATTTTCACTGACTGACACAAAGATTAATTGCTCTGGCAGTTCTGTTTGATTTTCTTTAGCTATCGCATTGCTTTTGAATGTTTCTATACAAAACCATTTTCTGCTCCTGCCATACAGGCTGTATGAAGTATTCCGAAACATGCTTTAGAGAACAATTTCAAATATACACAGGACATACCAATACACGGTCCTAACATGACTGCAACCAAGCAATGCCCTAGCTCCAATGGCTATACAAAGATAGTTACCACTCTGCAGAGACCCAGAAATTTAAGCTGCAGACTGACTCACTTCAAACGTAGTTATTAAATCAGGCTAGTAAACGGGAAATTAGAATCACAGAATCATAGAATAGTTAGGGTTGGAAAGGACCTTAAGATCATCTAGTTCCAAGCCCCCTGCCATGGGCAGGGACACCTCACACTAAACCATGTCACCCAAGGCTCTGTCCAACCTGGCCTCGAACATTGCCAGGGACGGAGCATTCACAACTTCCCTGGGCAACCCATTCCAGTGCCTCACCACCCCTACAGTAAAGAACTTCCTCCTTATATCCAATTTAAACTTCCCCTGTTTAAGTTTTAACCCGTTACCCCTTGTCCTATCACTATAGTCCCTACAACATCCTTATAGGCCCCCTTCAGATACTGGAAGGCTGCTATGAGGTCTCCATGCAGCCTTCTCTTCTCCAGGCTGAACAGCCCCAACTTTCTCAGCCTGTCTTCATACAGGAGGTGCTCCAGTCCCCTGATCATCCTCGTGGCCCTCCTCTGGACTTGTTCCAACAGTTCCATGTCCTTTTTATTTTGAGGACACCAGAACTGCACACCAAGAGACACACTGAGACCTCCAAGTGAGGTCTCACGAGAGCAGAGCAGAGGGGCAGGATCACTTGATCTTGTATTACTTCTTAGTAGACCTACTGTCAACATATTAATTTTAGGGTTTTTTTTATTTGTTTTTTTGGTAGTTTTGTAATTTGAAGTCAAATTTTGAATGTATTTGTTGAGCAACAGTCCTGCTGTCCCTCCCAGCAGGTTCCCTTCCCAGCAGATGTGATGGCCTGCTCCCGTCCCCTCCTCCACATGAGAAATACAGAGGTCAGAAGTGTAGGCTTCTTTATGTCATGACAAGTTTCAGACAGATAAGAAATGTTGCTATCTTCTATAGCAGAAGAACTAACATCCTGTTATTTCTATGGATCTGGGCCCTGCTAAAGTTTAAATCACTCCTGTCCAAAGACAGATCCAGGAAAGCATAAAATAGCATACACTGAAATTGTTTTACTGACAGTTACCAAGATTTACTAATGCGTGACCATAGGTAAGAGCTGATAGACAATATTTTTTGATGAAGAAACTGCAAAGTAAAGTCCTTGGACAGACAACCTTAGTAGAGAGGCCATTATCAGTCTCTGCATAGGATTTTAACTATTTGCAGCACTTAGGATCTGCTCCTCTTAAGTACAGAAAGGAAAAAACAGCAACCACCTTCAAACAGGAGGAGGTGCTGTAATGCACTGAATTACTCAGGAATACATTTTTGTGAACCACCTTAGGCACACTGAACTTATAAGTTCCCTCTTGTTCTCTTCTATCCCACTGCATCGTTAGTGGCTGGCTTTAAGGTTTATGTGGCAAAAATAAAAGGACATATGTATGTTGACGTTTCTATGTAAAAAATTCCTTTGTATTTTGTTGTAGATCTCCCACAGCACACACTCCCTCACATGTGTATGAGTGCATACACACACACTAATTCCATCATTCTAGGAAGAATTTCAGCTGCACTTTTTGTTCATTAAAAAAACAAATAAAAACCCAAAACCCAAAATAAAAATACCATCTTTCACAAATACGCAGCTACGAAGAAAGAGATTTTGTGTGAGGCAAATGAGTTCTGTTCACTGAAAAATAGTATCAAATTGAGAAAAAGTGCCCTAAAATATTTCCCATTTTCAAAACAGAGTCTCAGTTGTTTAGCCTTTTTTTTTTAAGGGAGATAAAAATTAATATCTTGGCTTTAATACAGTCACGTCCCTAACATAGTAGAGTGTTTATTTGATAAGCTACATATACTACTGCTTTTTAAAGTCGCAATGATCACTAAATGAGGATAGTTTTATGGTTGGTCACAGAATGCAATAACCTAAACTTTGGTTTGTTTTGCATAAAGTAACACAGGTTTCTTTCTTTACCTCTCCATGAACACTGGAACATGAAAAAGCCATGAACTGGGATTGCCAAATAGGAATAACTGTTTTTCAAATAGCAAAGAAATTAAAAAAAAAATAGTAATGGACAATTAATGCTGAAAATTCTGATAAAAATATTTTTCTACAATTTGATAAGATTTATTGGAGTTTACCTTTGTGGCTAGACACTGGTCCATAGCTCTACCACAGAATTCTGGCTATGGCCACAGAATCTTAGGAAATGTTTTCTCTTTAAGAAGAAGTGATGCTACTAACTGGCACGCTTATCAGGAAAACTTTAAAACTAAATATCAGATGTACAGTGTGATAATACTGCCTGAATACACAGTCAACCTCCACCATTAGCCTAGATTGCTGTCACACAATCCCCGTAGCATACAGAAACCTTGATCCCTAATTCACTATATCAGGGTTTGCCAACATCATTCTACATCAGCTAGTTTCCGGCACCGAGTCCCTTTTCCTCCTCTGCTGAGGAAACAAGGCCTCACAATTGTGCACAAAGGGTTGGAAGAAGGCAATGCCATTGACTGGTTTGCTTCCCTAGAGGACTCTTTGTCATTTCAAAGAAAGGGCAGACCAAAAGTAAAGCCTGATACTTGAAGGGGCAGAATCGCACATGCCTCATTTTCAGGAGTCCTACTTTCTACTGTGATTAGACATGAATAATTCCTTTCCACATGGATAATTCCTTTCCAGCAGCACTTGGAATTGGATTTCAGTGACTATTTCTGTGATGCTACTCAAAGCTTTCTGTAGTCACCTTGTTCCAATTTTGAGCCATGGGCTTGTTGTCAATTCTGGAACTCTGGAATTTATGCACTAATAATTTAGTAAGAGAGAGGGAAGAAACTGAAAATATTTCTGTTACGAGCATCTGTTGACATTTGAGTATTTTGACATATTTGCTGATGTACTAATCTATAAACGAATAATTTACACAGATAAAGTATAAGATCTGCCATGCAAATAAAGGAATAATTATTTATCATACTACTGACTTTGCTCTACTGAATTTCAAGTATTTATGAATATAATAGATAGCAATCTTAAAATGCTTTTATGCCAGTCTCCACTTTTTTTTAAAATGGAGCTGAAATGATCTAATCTCACATTTAATGATCTACTAAATATGAGCTGAAATGATCTGATCTCTTATTTAATAAGATCCTAGGAGACAATGATGTCCATCAACTGAGAAATAAGAATTGATAGGATCACAGAATCCTATATTTGATATATTAACACCCTAATTTGAGGACAATAAAATACTTTCTGAATAACAGATAGATACATTTGTTTTTCAAAGACTCATATAAATTTCAGTTTTCATTCTTTGTGACCTACCTGTCACAAGGGAACTACAAGAATCACCTTAGCAAAGATAAAGATTGAGATTTTTAGAGTTCAGATTAATCTTGTACTTGTTTTTACCCTGCAAATATCAAGTTCTACTTTCCTAGGAAATATGTTCTAGTGTACTGCGAGTACAAAATAGCTATTAGTGTGCCATAAACAGGCTTAGTGCGATAGCACCAGGGATCAAATCTTACAGCTGTCCAATACTTCCCCTTGCATATCTAAGCAAACAGATTAAGATTCCTTTGCATTCATCTAATCCCTGGGCTACTTTATTATTTGACATTAATTGCAACAGTATCAAAAGAACAGGCGTTTAATATTCAGTCTTCCCAATCCATCTAATTGAGTACCCTCAGAACACAGTATTTTTCCATCCCCTTGCTGGCTATCACTTGGAGAAATAGCTCCTAGCTCATACTGTTACTTTCTTCAATATAGTTGGAGTTTAATTTATGAAGCATAAAGAAGCAAAAGATACACGTGAATTTACATATATCCTTTTGCACTTAACCCTTCTGATAACATCATAACTAAACATTTATTTTCCATTACTGGACTTGCTAGGATTACATACAGATATCTAATGAATATATTCAAGATGCAAAAAATTCTACTAGACAAATTACTTGGATGGAGAAAATTGGTATATAGATATACAGTCAGTATTTCTCAGTAGCTTCATAAAATACATGCTAGTAGTAGATGTCACCTGAAAAATAAAGATTAGATACAGGAAGCCAGAACAAACTTTGACCATAAACTCACCTATATAATATTTGAAAGTATATCCTTTATAGGGAAAAAAAATCAAGTGTTTAGCCATTACTAAAACCACATTATTTCCTTCATTCTCTTACACTT